GAGGGTAGAGCAGCGAGACGGAGAACAAGTGAAAGGTGGAAGAATTCATGACGAGCACTATCATGACGCACGGTACAATTGGGCCGAGGACTGGATGCCCGGCTGCGGAGCCCGCCTTGACCGCCCTGGCCTGGCGGCGGCGGGGGCGAGCCGGTTGGGTTTGTGAGGTCACCGGTGAAGGTCGGGATGATGCTAAAATGCGAGGAGGTGCTGTTGGTGCTGCCTGTTGCGCAGGCGGTGTTATTTGCTGCTGATGTCGAGCCTGGGGGCCGTGCGGAACGAGAGCGCGAGCTTGAAGACACGGAGAGAAGACGGAAGAGGAAAGAGCAGAGCAGACAGAGACGTCAAGGGCGTAGGTGTCGGTGTCGCTATGGAACAATATCCGGGGCTGACAGTGAGAGAATGTTGGCCACGATGAGGATTAGAGCGTCTGCGTCGTCGTGAGCGGCGTCAAGGAGCAAGGTGGCCACGTCGACGAGGACTGTCAGCGATGTGACAGAATAAATGACGTTATCACTTACGGCGATCCGCTGTTCTGCGACTGCCTTTTGGGTCTTTTTGTCTCTTGCAACCACGTTCTGAATAAGCACCGAGGGTGCTGCAAACGCCGCTGGTATATATTTCAGCTCGCCCTCAACGATCGAGGTCCCGACCACAACAATCGGTTTGAATTCAGCCGATCGAGGCCGCGGAAGCTTTTATTCGCAGACAGTACCCCTGATTCGCATTCTTTTAGCATAAAAATGTCTCGCATTCAGCCAACCTGGAAATGGGGTACGCAAAGCAGTATGGTGTAATGATGCACACGGGATTTCCTTAGCACTGATTCCCTGATCAACCCTGAGGTCCTTGTTCGAATCAAGGTACTGCTCTGTGGGATGATTGTTCCTTTTTCACCTAAGTCGCTCTGAATCTCCAGTACTCACCCACCTCGAAACAGGGGAAATAAGGCGGTATGGTGTAATGATGCACATGGGAATTTCCTGCAGTTTTGACAAGCAGTTTAATCCCAGGGTCCTTGTTCGACTCAAGGTACTGCGCATGGTCTGTGATTGGAGGTGTTTGTTTTTTTTGGGCACAAAATCCCCACATATATCCAGACTCCAGCACTCATCCAACTTCGAAACTGGGCAAATAAAGCAGTATGGTGTAATTATACACATGGGGATTCCTTAGGACAGATGGGATCTCATCAACCCTGAGGGCCTTGTTCGAATCAAGGTACTGCTCTTGATCCTCTAACTCCTTTTTTATTGCGACAAAATTCAACTGAATCTCTAGCACTCCACCCACCTTGGAACAGGGTGAATGAAAGCAGTATGGTGTAATGCCGCACACGGGGATTCCTTATGACTGTTTTCATATGCTCATCCCTCAAGTCCTTGTTCGAATCAAGGTACTGTATTATTTCATTCAATTCGACAGGGGGTGTGACATGTGACATGTTGAACCAATTCGTCACCTCGTCAAGCCTCAGATTTAGCGTGACAGGGACCAAAAATTCGTCAGACTCCTCAATGCTTTCCAAATGATATAACGACCTCAAAAAGCTGGTTCTGACCATTTTTACATTGATCTGGGCTCCCGCACTCGGTATGACTACTTGTGCAGGTTTTTACACCTTAAATCTTGGTAAAATGTTGCTGGAAACTCATGTTTCGCCAGAGAAATACAATAGTACTGGCTCGGGAGACTGTATTCTCATGTTTTCCCATTCAGAGAATATTCTTTGATCATTTTACTCGATTTTAGAGCCATTTTCTGGGACGAATGTGACATCGAAGATATTCGTCAACCACCCTTGTGACGTGTGACCTCGACCAAAGTTCGTCGTCGTCAGCTACCCCTGTGACGCGTGACCGACGAACTGAATGAAATAATACAGTACTGCTTTGCCTTGGCTTTGCCCCTTCTGTAGAATTTTTTTTTGGCAAAGTTCCTCCGAATCTCTAGTACTACACCCACCTCGAAACAGGAGAAATAAAGCAGTATAGTGTAATGATGCACCCGAGATTTTCTTCTGTCCAAGTTGACGTATAACTCCCGAGGTCTTTGATCGAGTCAAGGTACTGCTCTCCATCTTCCCACTCCACCTTTTTTTTTGGAACAAAATTCCTCGGAATTTTTAGTACTACACCCACCTCGAAACACGGCAAATAAAGCAGTATGGTGTAATGATGCACACGTGATTTTCTTACATTCAAGGTGATGTGTAATCCCCGAGGTCCTTGTTCGAATCAAGGTGCTGCTCTCCATCTTCCCAGCCGATCTTTTTGTTTGGAATAAAATCCCTCTGAATTTCTAGTACTCACCCACCTTGAAAATGGGTGAGAAAAGGCAGTATGGTGTATGATGTGCATGGCATTTCCTGATCATTGTGAGATTAGATCAACCCTGAGGTCCTTGTTCAAATCAATACTGCTCTTTGGTGCAATCCGGGACATTTTTTTACCTCGATCTCTCTGATTTTTTTGGTACTCCACCCACCTCAAAGCAGAGCAAAGAAAGGCAGTATGGTGTAATGATGCACATTGGATTTTCTTAGCAAGAGCTTGTGAGAATGTATTCCTGATGTCCTTATTCGAATCAAGGTGCTGCTCTTTACTGGCTCACATAATGCTTTTTTTCTTTTTTTCTTTTTTTTCCAAAGAAAAGTTGGATGAATAGCAAGCACTCCACCCACCCTGAAACAGAGCAAAGAAAGCGGTATGGTGTAATGTTGCACCCGGGATTTTCTTGTAGTGTCGAAAGCCAGATATACTTCCCGAGGGCCTTGTTCGAATCAAGGTACTGCTCCTTTGTGCAAACTGGTACATTTTTTTACCTAGATCCCTGTGAACCTCAAGCACTCCCAGTGGTACAAAACAGAGCATGAGAGGCAGTATAGTGTAATGCTGCACACGGGATTTCGTTACGAAGCCATCCAATGTGCTCATTCCCGAGGTCGTTGTTCGAATCCAGGTACTGCTCTCACTTTGTGTCCTACGCTTTTTTTTGGCACAAAATTCCTCTGAATCTCTGACACTCCACCGACCTTGAAAGAGGATAAAGGAAAGCAGTATGGTGTAATGTTGCACCCGGGATTTCTGTATTGCCCCCGTCACTATTTAATCCTGAGGTCCTTGTTCGAATCAAGGTACTGCTTTGCGGCAAATCGCGAGTATCTTTTTGCTAGATCCGGCTCAAATTCTAGCACGCCATCGACTTCGAAACAGAGCAAAGAAAGCAGTATGGTTCAATGATGCACACGGGATTTTCTTAAGGTGTTCGAGGCATGTGTAATTTCCGAGGTCCTTGTTCCAATCAAGGTACTGCCTTTTCTCTATTGTCGAGTCTATATTTTTGAACAAAACCCCTCTGAATCTCTAGTACTCACCCGACTTCGAAACTGAGTAGGAAAAGGCAGTATGGTGTAATGCGGCACACGGGATTTTCTTGACGTATTCGAGTTGTATGTGTAATTCCGGAGATCCTTGTTTGAATCAAGGTACTGCTCTGTAGGATTGGGATCTAAGAATATTTTTTAATAAAATCCCACAGAGTTTCTGGCACTCCACCAACTTCGAAATGGCCCAAGGAAAGGCAGTATGGTGTACATGCATTTCTTTCGTGGGCAAAGAATACATAATGTATTCCTGAGGTCCTGGTTCGATCAAGATACTGCTCTGCATCTTCCCACTCTACCTTTTTTTTGGAACAAAATCCCTCTGAATTTCTAGTACTACACCCACCTCGAAACAGGGTAAAGAAAGCAGTATGGTGTAATGATGCACACAGGATTTTCTTTGCAATATTCGAACCATCCTTAATCCCAAGGTCCTTGTTCGAATTAAGGTACTGCTCTCGTCTTCAGACACGACTTTTTCTAAAAAAATTCCTCTGAATTTCTAACACTCCACCCACCTCGAAACTCGGTGCAATATGGTGTAATGATGTACACAGGGATTCTTTAGCACCGATGGTTGTGATGTTATCAACACCGAGGTCCTTGTTCGAATCAAGGTACTGCTCTTTTGTACTCTTCTAGACCTTTTTTTTTGGCACAAAATTCTTCTGAATCTCTGGCACACCACCAATATTGACACTGGGCAGGTAAAGCAGTATGGTGTAATGATGCACATGGATTTGCTTGAACCAGGTTGAATCGAGTCACCTCGAGGTCCTTGTTTGAATTAAGCTACCGCTGTGCGGCAGACACTTTTTTTTTGGCTGGATTGTGCCGAATCTCTAGCACTCCATCGACCACTCTGTTGATATGATCTTTCAGTTGTGATCATCGCATCGTACCTATTGCTGGAACCTTAGCTTGGTTCCATCGGCGCACATCGAGGGATCCTATTCTCTTCTGATTTGGCAGCTGAGTCTTGACCACTGGCACCAGGCAGGCGACCTTCCCCGAAGAATTCTCAACGAGTTTTTAGTGTGCTGTTGAATCCATGTGAGGTCGTTTGACGAGTCGGAGTCAGGGTACCTTCGCGCAAGTGTAAGGGATTTGACCTGAGCTCAAGTGCCTCAACTTGTGTTAGTCCCAAGCAGCAATACAGTTGATTCATAATACTTAAACTTAGACCACGTGCCACAGGTTGACTTTTCCTTCATGAAGCCAGTGCCTTACTAAAAAATGTCTCAGAGTTACCTTACCATGTCGCCTCCGATGCCAGGCATTTGTTTTAAGTAATATGTGACAATCAGCTTCCTCACGGTTGGTAATGGCTACTTTTGAACTTGCTTTTGGCGCCGTTGAAAGGCAAGAAGCCACCGTCTCTCGCGAAAATCGAAACATCTTACACCATTAATGAAGGGACATGATTTAGGGTACGCGTTACGGTACCTTGAGATTTCAGTTGACATTCACTACTATCCATCGGAAAGGAACCAAGCACAATTTGGAAATTGGATACGTGAAAACAACCCGACAAGGGGGCAATTCTCATGGGCTCTCCTCTCCGATCAGGAGGAAGGGAATGTCATGCATTTGGTGCGGTGCTGCGTTCACCTCGACCATCAATTCACTGGTACTCGAGAAATAATTCAATTAATTTCAAGTCACCTGAACTGAGAGGATGAATCTACCCTAGGCGTTGCCATCTAAAACTTCACCAGCCGAATGAGTTCCTCTCTCGCTTCTCCCGCGCGCACCTCCCTGAGGGCCTTCGACATCTTGGCCACGTTTTCCTGGAATCTCGCGCCCTTTTCACCCCGCGCAGCGGCAAACGTCGCCTTGAACTCCTCTGATGCATCCTGCACAGTGCCGGTGATTTTGGCATCGCTGTATAGGGAGGGCGCGATTTGTGGGCCAGCACGAATCTGCGCACGTCAAAGTTAAAGGTGCTAATTCCAAAGAGAGTACGGAACAATAATACCTGCAAGAGCTCGATCGCCACCGGATTCGGCTCTGCTGACAACATCGCCGCGGTGACAGTCTGCTCAGCGCCAACAGGCCAAATAATTAGCGGGATGCCCTGCGTAAATGCCTCGGTCACAGAACTACGGCAAACTTGAGTGGTGCGAAAATGCAACAGGTCGATTGGATCGGTGCTTACTTGAAGCCACCGTGTGTGAGGAACCACCCGACGCCGCCATGCTGCAGGATTGCGAGCTGCTCGACCCAAAAGTCGCAAATGAGCCCTTTCCCGCTCGCGTTGACGCGCTCTATGAGGTCTGCAGGGAGGGACGCCATCGCGGACCCAAGTGCGAAGATGAATGGGAATGGCTGCTCGAGTTCGAGTAGTGTGGTCACAAATGCCTCGATGAGCTGTGGCGTGGCAACCGGGAAGAAGAGTGATCTGACGAGAGTACGACATGTAAGGAATCTGAGCTGCGATGAAGAATACACTGCGCGCACCCGAAGGAGATATAGAGCACAGATTTCTTGCCGTATTCGCTCACAGCGCGGTCCAAGAACAATTTGACGCGGTCGTTGGACAGCGCAGCCGGTGTAGCATTGGCCCAACAGAGCTCGTGAGCCTGCATCCCGATAGTGAACAGCTCTTTCCCGTGCTTCTCGGTGGGCCGGCGCCATACGCGAGGCGTTCGTAGTCATACATGTCGGGGCCGCCGGGATACTTAATGACGATTCCGGATGTTTTATCCGTGCCGTTAGAGGCCTCGAAAACCTACAAGGGCGAAGTTAGAATAAATTAATGGTAAACAATCTTAGATGAAACCCAACATTTTACACAATGTCCTCCAGAGAGCGTCCCTCCCGCTTCGACTCGTCCGCGTAGATTTCCTCAGCTATCGCAGTAAAATCGTAGTTGCTGAAATGCGCGGGCACGGAAATAACGGCGGAGGACCACCACACAAGGGTCTTGCAGTCGGGACCAAAAATTGCCTTGGTGGGTTCGATTACAAATCCTCCACAGCCGAAATCCAACTGAGAGAAAACATCGGCATTAGGAAATGAGACCGAAATGGAATGCGTACATGAATGGCTTGCGGTTTGGGCCATCCCTCACTTCCGTGAGCCAATCGAGGAATGGTCTCCATCCAGCCGCCACAGAGCTGTCCAAATGCCTCCTTGATCATGGTCGGTCCGAACTCCAGGCTGCATAATCAAGGAACCGTCAATTAACGAAACGCGATTCGAAGAACTGAGGACGCACTCCTTGGCGCCCACCCCAATGAGACGAAGTCGCGCTTTGTCGTAGGAGCACCCCGCCAGCGCCGCCTCCATTTTCGGGACTGATCATCGAAAATGTCGCAATTCAGACTTTGTTTTGTACTCTTGGGAAGGTACGCACTCATAAGATTGTGCTGCACAATCATAATAACGAGTGTAGGATCCACAGCGAGCATCTGGTCCACAGCATTGATATAGCTGATTGTGTGTCCCCACGCGGGTGGGAGCATTGCGACAATGTGGTGGGTAGGCATGTTGAACAGGAACGGATGGAGAGAAACAAACGAGCTCTCTGGGATCCTGGGGGTTAGACTGCTCTTGTAAGTAGGTCAAAAGTAGGTGCTGAAAATGCTTGGGAAATCCAGGGCCGTCCCATCGGAAGAATCTGATTGGAGAAATGGCCAACATTAACGCAACATCGGCAACACCAACATTGATCGATACTGTTGTTTGACTGTTCTCGTTCGAGAAAACTGATGCGCAGTGCTGCAGCCGAGTAATGCATGCATCGGTAAAGTTATCGCTTGAACAAGTATAGTAGCTCGGGAAACCAGGCCGTCACCACTCACCAGTGGAGGAGAAAATAAAAGATTCAGAAAATCCCCGAAAACTTGACGCGGGCCCAGCAAAAATAGAATAAGCGGGATAAAAGGTACATCAGTGTCTGGACTCGGAGGGTGACTCGGATTGGACTCGGAATCCAATCCGACTAAATGTGGCAACATCTGAACATCCCTTGTCCGTAATCGTGTATTTGTAATTTTGTATTGCGTCTCAGATTGCCGACCCTGAGTGACTGGATCTCGACCAAGGGATTTACCGCTCACCAATTTTGTCATGTCCACACAAAGCCGATCTAGCATTTACGAAGAACCTAAATGACGTGACTTTAATTGAAATGGCCAGTCCTTTGGACTTGCCGCTCAAACATCTGAACGAGCTGCATTATTATTTCACAGCGTCCGGATGATGGCCAATTCGGAGAATTGGTCGTGAGGGTAAATTGAATGTTTATTTCAAGGAGTAGCCTACCAACACTGGCTTCCTATGTACCCGACTCGCAGAGATGAATGAGTGTTGAAAGACAGGGAGGATTGGTGAGGGTTGGGACAATGAGGGAGAGGGAAAGAGAGCGGGAGGATACGAGGGGAGGTGAATGCAAGGTGAATAAACACGCGCTGGTTCCCCTACCTGACCGGTGGTGCGTCTCACATCTTTTCAAATCCACTCCTACGCGGTGCACAAGCGATTAAGCGGCGGTGGCGATGACAATGGCGGAGGGAACACCGAGGAGGAGGAAGGTGTAGACTGCGCGCACGGTGCGGGCGTAGTACCAGGAGAGCATGCCCATGCGCGTGTCAATCGTAAGGCCAAGATCAAAGAAGGAGGGTAGAGCAGCGAGACGGAGAACAAGTGAAAGGTGGAAGAATTCATGACGAGCACTACGGTACAATTGCGCCGAGGACTGGATGCCCGGCTGCGGGAGCCCTCCTTGACTGCCTTGGGCGCCCTGGCCTGGCGACGGCGGGGGCGAGCCGGTGGGGTTTGTGGGGTCACCGATGAAGGTCGGGATGATGCTAAAATGCGAGGAGGTGCTGTTGATGCTGCCTGTTGCGCAGGCGGTGTTATTTGCTGCTGATGTGGAGCCTGGGGGCCGTGCGGAGCGAGAGCGCGAGCTTGAAGACATGGAGAGAGAGCAGACAGAGACGTCAAGGGCGTAGGTGTCGGTGTCGCTATGGAACAATACCCGGGTCTGAGAGGATGTTGGCCACGATGAGGATTAGAGCGTCTGCATCGTCGTGAGCGGCGTCGAGGAGCAAGGTGGCCACGTCGACGAGGACTGTCAGCGATGTGACAGAATAAATGACGTTATCACTTACGGCGATCCGCTGTTCTGCGACTGCCTTTTTGGGTCTTTTTGTCTCTTGCAACCACGTTTCTGAATAAGCACCGAGGGTGCTGCAAACGCCGCTGGTATATATTTCAGCTCGCCCTCAACGATCGAGGTCCCGACCACAACAATCGGTTTGAATTCGGCCGATCGAGCCCGCGGAGGCTTTTATTCGCAGACAGTACCCCTGATTCGCATTCTTTTGCCTTGAAAATGTCTCGCATTCAACCGACACGGAAATGGGGTATTAAAAGCAGTATGGTGTAATGATGCACACGGGATTTTCCTTACAGCTTTGTTACAATGCCCTTAACCCCGAAGTCCTTGTTCGAATCAAGGTACTGCTCTGTACATTGGCCTCGACCCTTTTTTGGCACTAAAATTTAAATTCCTCTGAATCTCTGACGCTCCACCCACCTCGAAACAGGACAAAGAAAGCTGTATGGTGTAATGCTGCACACAGGATTTTCTTTCGTGCGTCCGAAATTAGTCATCCCGAGGTCCTTGTTCGAATCAAGGTGCTGCTCTAGATCTATGATGTCCTTTTTCTTTTCTTTCACTGGCAACCAAGTAGCTTTGAGTCTCTAGTACTACCCCCACCTCGAACCAAGGCAAATAAAGCAGTATGGTGTAATGCCGCACACGGGATTCTCTTACGGGTTGAAAAACAATAATTCCCGAGGTCCTTGTTCGAATCAAGGTACTGTTCTTCATCTCTGCGAATGCATATTTTTGAACAAATTTCCTCTGAATCAGTTGCATTCCACCTACCATGAAATTGAGTAGGAAAAGGCAGTATGGTGTAATGATGCACACGGGATTTTCATGCAGTTTTGACACATTTCATCCCAAGGTCCTTGTTCGAATCAAGGTACTGCTCTCACTTTGTGCCCTATGCTTTTTTTGAGCAAAATCCCTCTGAATCTCAAGCACTCCTGGACATTCAAAACAGGGTAATGAAAGGCGGTATGGTGTAATGCCGCACACAAGATTTTCTTGCATGGCTGCGAAGTTAGTTATCTTGAGATCCTTGTTCGAATCAAGGCACTGCTACGATCATGCAACGTACATTTTCAACAAAATTCCTACAAATCTCTAGTACTACACCCACCTCGAAACAAGGCAAAGAAAGCAGTATGGTGTAATGATGCACACAGGGATTCATTACTCAAGATATGAGAAATAATGTATTCCCGAGGTCCTTGTTCGAATCAAGGTACTGCTCCTCCGTATTCCCACTTACGTTTTTTGTAACAAAATCCCTCTGAATCTCTAGTACTACACCCACCTCGGAACACGGCAAATAAAGCAGTATGGTGTAATGATGCACGTGGGATTTCCTTGGGACTTGGAAGATTCGTTATTCCCGAGGTCCTTGTTCGAGTCAAGGTACTGTTCTTCATCTCTGCGAATGCAGACTTTTGAACAAAATTCCTCTGAATCAGTTGCATTCCACCCACCTCGAAACAGGAGAAATAAAGCGGTATGGTGTAATGATGCACACAGGAATTTCTTTCTCATTAACCTGACAATAGCGTAATCCTGAGGTCCTTGTTCGAATCAAGGTACTGCTTTGCGGCAAATCGCGAGTATCTTTTTGCTAGATCCGGCTCAAATTCTAGCACGCCATCGACTTCGAAACAGAGCAAAGAAAGCAGTATAGTGTAATGATGCACACGGGATTTTCTTACCCTATTGATAAAATATGTTGGCCCGAGGTCCTTGTTCGAATCAAGGTACTGCTCTTCGTGAAGTCTCCAGTCTTTTTACCTGAATCCCACAGAATTTCTAATACTCAGCCAACTTCGAAACACGGCCAAGAAAGCAGTATGGTGTAATGATGCACATTGGATTTTCATACAATTTTGGCACATTTAATCTCCTTGTTCGAGTCAAGGTACTGCTTTGCCACTTGTGTAAAAAAATTTTGGGCAAAGTTTCTCTGAAGTTCCAGCACTCACTCACATTTAATTCTGGAAATGAAAGCAGTATGGTGTAACGACGCACACGGGGATTCCTTAAAACGGCGTGACATAATGGCTCAGCCCCGAGGTCCTTTTTCGACTCAAGGTACTGCTCTGTGTGGATCTCAATCTCTTTTTTTTTGGAACCATGAATCTCTGACACTCCTCTGACTTTGAAAAAAAAATGAAGGAAAGGCAGTATGGTGTAATGATGTGTGTGGGATTTTCTTATGTGAATATATCTTAATCCCGAGGTCCTTGTTCGAGTCAAGGTACTGTTCTTCATCTCTGTGAATGCATATTTTTGAACAAAATTCCTCTGAATCAGTTGCATCCTACCTACCATGAAAGAGGTAAACAAAGCAGTATGGTGTAATGCTGCGCACGGGGATTTTCTTCACGTGTTGGGTGGGACATTTAATCCCAAGGTCCTTGTTCGAATCAAGGTGCTGCTCTTCTATTTTCCGAGTGACATTTTTTTGCTATGAATCTCAGCGCCCCACTCCTCTCGAAACAGGGTAATGAAAGGTGGTATGGTGTAATGATGCACATAGGATTTTCCTACCCCGTTGAACAAATATGTTATCCCGAGGTCCTTGTTTGAATCAAGGTGCCTTTTCTCTATTGCTGCCTTCTTCTTTCAAAAAGAAAAATTGCTCTGAATCAGTTGCACTTCACCCGACTTCGAAACAGGAGAAATAAAGCAGTATGGTGTAATGTTGCACCCGGAATTTTCTTGTAGTGTCGAAAGCCAGATATACTTCCCGAGGGCCTTGTTCGAACCAAGGTACTACTCTTCATCGTCCGCCAAAGTTTTTTCTAAAAAAAATACTGCATTCCTACTTCTCCATCCAACCACCCTGGAAACAAAGCAAAGAAAGCAGTATGGTGTAATGATGCACGTCGGATTTTCTTGAGGATCAACTTATATGTGTAATTCCCGAGGTCCTTTTTCGAATCAAGGTACTGCTCTGTGTGGATCCCAATCTCTTTTTTTTGGAACCATGAATCTCTAACACCCACCTTGAAACAGGGTAAAGAAAGCAGTATGGTGTAATGATGCACACGGGATTTTCTTACATTCAAGGTGATGTGTAATCCCCGAGGTCCTTGTTCGAATCAAGGTGCTGCTCTTCTATTTTCCGAGTGACATTTTTTGCTACGAATCTCAACACCTCACTCCTCTCGAAACAGGGTAATGAAACGTGATATGGTGTAATGCCGCACACGGGATTTTGCTACCCCGTTGAACAAATATGTTATCCCGAGTCCTTGTTTGAATCAAGGTGCCTTTTCTCTATCGCTGCCTTCTTTTTCCAAAAAGAAAAATTGCTCTGAATCAGTTGCACTCCACCCGACTTCGAAACAGGAGAAATAAAGCAGTATGGTGCAATGATGCACGCGGGATGTTCCTAGGTGTTCGAGGCATGTGTAATTTCCGAGGTCCTTGTTCGAATCAAGGTACTGCTATCATCATGCAACGTAGGACTTTTTTTTTTAGGCATAAAATTCAACTGAATTTCTAGAACTCTACCCACCTTGAAACTGCCCAAGGAAAGGTAATATGGTATAATGCTGCACATGGGATTTTTATTGACAAGTAATCCCATGGTCCTTGTTCAAGTTAAGGTGGAACTGGCATGCCTTTTTGTTTCGAGGCATTCTTGCAAATTCTTAGCTGCATTAGTACTCACCAACTTGGAAAGGGAATAAAGGAAAGCAGTATGGTGTAATGATGCACCCGGGATTTCTGTATTGCCCCCGTCGCTATTTAATCCTGAGGTCCTTGTTCGAATCAAGGTGCTGCCCTGGAAGGCATTCTGGCAGGTCTTTTTAGCAAATCCATTTGGAATTTCTGACACTCCACCCACCTTGAAATTGACCAAGGGAAGCAGTATGGTGTAATGATGCACACAGGATTTTCTTCAATGTTAATATTAAAACCAAAGTGATTCCTGAGGTCCTTGTTGGAGTCAAGGTAATAATATTAGGTCAAAAACTTCCTTTTTGGCTATATTTCTCTGAATCTCCAGTACTCAATCAAACTTGTAACTAGGCAAATAAAGGCAGTATGGTGTAATGTTACACTTGGGATTTTCTCGGGTCGGGCAATCAATTTAATCCCTAGGTCCTTGTTCGAATCAAGGTACTGCTCTCCGTCTCTATGAATGTATTTTTTGAACAAATTCTCACGAATCTCAAAGCACTCGACATCAAAAAGGATGAAGGAAAGCAGTATGGTGTAATGATGCACACAGATCACGTTTAGATTGTATTGGGATGTGCTAATCCTAAGGTCCTTGTTCGAGTCAAGGTACTGCTCTTTGCCATCCATTAACATTTTTTTTTTAAATCCCTCGAAATCTCCAGCAATCCACCCACCTCGAAACACGGCAAATAAAACAAATGATGCATGTAGATTTTCCTTGGGACTTGGAAGATTGGTTATTCCCGAGGTCCTTGTTCGAGTCAAGGTACTGTTCTTCATCTCTACGAATGTATATTTTTGAACAAAATTCCTCTGAATCAGTTGCATTCCACCTACCATGAAACAGGGCAAGGAAAGCAGTATGGTGTAATGATGCACACGGGATTTTCTTGAGGTTCGACTGGTACATCTGTGTAATTCTCGAGGTCCTTGTTCGAATCAAGGTACTGCTTTGCCACTTCTGTAAAAAAAAAATTGGGCAAAGTTTCTCTGAAGTTCTAGCACTCACTCACATTTAATTCTGGAAATGAAAGCAGTATGGTGTAAGAGTGCACACGGGGATTTTTTGCTGCAGCGCATGGCTGTTTCTCCCCAAGTTCCTTGTTCGAACCAAGGTACTGCTCTAGTGGCTGATTATGGCATATTTTTTATAGCTAAATCCCTCTGAATTCCTAGCATTCATGTGACCTTGAAACTGGGTACGAGAAGGCAGTACGGTGTAATGCCGCACACGAGATTTTCTTAAGCTTGAACTACTACGGAATCTATTCCTGAGGTCCTTGTTCGAATCAAAGTACTGCCCTAATTGGATGACAGTGTTTTTTTTTTTTTTTTTGGCCTCAAAATTCCTACAAATATCGAGTACTCACCCACCTTGAAACTGGGCAAAGAAAGCAGTATGGTGTAACGACGCACACGGGGATTTTCTTCAGATGTTCGGTGGCACATTTAATCCCAAGGTCCTTGTTCGAATCAAGGTACTGCTCTCACTTTGTGCCCTATGCTTTTTTTGAGCAAAATCCCTCTGAATCTCAAGCACTCCTGGACATTCAAAACAGGGCAAGGAAAGCAGTATGGTGTAATGCTGCACACAGGAATTCCATTTTCCAGCAAAACTAGGACAATACATTCCTGAGGTCCTTGTTCGAGTCAAGGTACTGCTCTCACTTTGTGTCCTACGCTTTTTTTTGGCACAAAACTTCCCTGAATCTTAGCACTCGCCCACCTTGAAACAGGGTAGTATGGTGTAATGATGCACACGGCATTTCCTGATCATTGTGAGATTAGATCAACCTTGAGGTCCTTGTTCAAATCAATACTGCTCTTTGGTGCAATCCGGGACATTTTTTTGCCTGGATCTCTCTGATTTTTTTTGGTACTCCACCCAACTCAAAACAGGGCAGGAAAAGGCAGTATGGTGTAATGATGCACATGGGATTTTCTTACAAGCTTCACAACCGGTATTCCTGAGGTCCTTGTTCGAATCAAGGTACTGCCCTAATTGGTTGACGGTGCTTTTTTTTGCTTCAAAATTCCTACAAATACGTACTACACCTACCTTGGAACTGGTTAGGAAAATGCAGTATGGTGTAATGATGCACACAGGAATTTCTTTCATTAATGTGGTGATAGCGTAATCCTGAAGTCCTTGTTCGAATCAAGGTACTGCCCTGAGCGTGGATTGCAGTGTTTTTTGCCTCAAAATTCCTACAAATCTCTAGTACTCACCCACCTCGAAACAGGACAAAGAAAGTTGTATGGTGTAATGATGCACACAGGAATCTCATTCCCAGAGATCAGAATGTATTCTGGATACCGCTCTTCTGTTTGTTCAGATATTTTCTTTTGGCAAAAAATTCCTCTGAATTTCCAGTACTCATCTAACATTGAAACAGATTAGGAAAAGCAGTATGGTGTAATGATGCACACGGGATTTTCTTGTGTTTGTCTTTGTGATTTGATCAACCCCGAGGTCCTTGTTCGAATCAAGGTACTGCTCTGGTCAGGATATCTGCCAAATGTTTTTTCTGTCGGTTGTACATGAAAGTTCCTCTGAATCTCAAGTACTCACCCACCTTGAAACAGGGCAAATAAAGCAGTATGGTGTAATGAGGCACACGGGTTTTCTTACTGCAGCATAAGTGTTTATCCCCGAGATCCTTGTTCGAACCAAGGTACTGCTGTTTGAAGATTTTGCTTACGTTTTTTCAACAAAATTCCTACAAATTTTGACACCTCACCCACCTCGAAACAGGGCAAATAAAGCAGTATGGTGTAGTGATGTGCCCGGGATTTTCATGCAGTTTTGGCACATTTAATCTCGAGGTCCTTGTTCAAATCAAGGTACTGCTCCTCCATATTCCCACTCCACCTTTTTTTTGGAACAAAATCCCTCTGAATTTCCAGTACTACACCCACCTCGAACCAAGGCAAATAAAGCAGTATGGTGTAATTATGCACACTGGGTTTCCTTATTGTGTCAACCAGAATGCGTATCCTTGGGGTCCTTGTTCGAATCATGGTACTGCTCTGGTCAGGATATCTGCCAAAAAAAAATTCTGTCGGTTTTACATGAAAGTTCCTCTGAATCTCAAGTACTCACCCACCTTGAAAGAGGATAAAGGAAAGCAGTATGGTGTAATGATGCACACAAATTTTCTTGACGTTGTATGTGCAATTCCCGAGATCCTTGTTCGAATTAAGGTACTGCTATCATCATGCAACGTAGGACTTTTTTTTTGGGCATAAAATTCCTCTGAATCTCTGACACTCCACCCAGCTTGAAACAGGGCAAGGAAAGGTAATATGGTATAATGCTGCACATGGGATTTTTGTTGACAAGTAATCCCACGGTCCTTGTTCAAGTCAAGGTACTGCTCTTTGGTGGAACTGGCATGCCTTTTTGTTTCGAGGCATTCTTGCAAATTCTCAGCTGCATTACTCACCAACTTGGAAAGAGGATAAAGGAAAAGCAGTATGGTGTAATGATGCACACGGGATTTTTCCTTAGCACTGGTTCTGTGATTTGATCAACCCCGAGGTCCTTGTTCGAATCAAGGTGCTGCTCTCACTCGGCAGTTCATTGTCTTTCTTTTTTGGCCAGATTCTGCTGAATCTCTAGCACTCCACCGACTTTGAAATTGAGTAGGAAAAGGCAGTATGGTGTAATGATGCACACAGGATTTTCTTACCCCGTTGATAAAATATGTTATCCCGAGGTCCTTGTTCGAATCAAGGTGCTGCTCTTGCTTGTAACCCTTCTAGACCCCCTTTTTTGACACAAAATTCCTACAAATCTCTAGCATTCAATCAGTCTCAAAACAGGATAAAGAAAGCAGTATGGTGTAATTATGCACATGGGGATTCCTTAGTAGAAATGGGATATGATCAACCCTGAGGTCCTTGTTCGAATCAAGGTACTGCTATCATCATGCAACGTAGGACTGTTTTTTTGGTATAAAATTCATCAGAATTTCTAGAACTCTACCCACCTTGAAACTGGGGAGGGAAAGGTGGTATGGTGTAATGATGCACACAGGGATTCATTACTCAAGATATGAGAAATGATGTATTCCCGAAGTCCTTGTTCGAATCAAGGTACTGCTTTCCAGATTTTCGCACTTTTTCATGGCACAAGTTTCCGTTAGCACCACACCCACTTTGAAACAGAGTAAAGAAAGCAGTATGGTGTAATGATGCACACTGGGTTTCCTTATTGTGTCAACCAGAATGCGTATTCTTGGGGTCCTTGTTCGAATCAAGGTACTGCTCTGTGGGATGATTGTTCCTTTTTCACCTAAGTCGCTCTGAATCTCCAGTACTCACCCACCTCGAAACAGGGGAAATAAAGCGGTATGGTGTAAGTAATGCTGCACTCAAAATTTCTGTAGTTGCCTATCCACAACATTTTCCTCTTGAATCTGAAAAATCTGAAAAACTTTAACTTGTCAAATTGGATACAAAAGAGCCCGCACCACAAGTTTTTTTTTGGGGGGGGGCAATATGTGGAGAATCGGACCTGACTGATCACTTGTCACTTGCAGGCTTTTAGGCCGAATCAAGTGCGATCAAGTTTTCGGCACAAAGTCTGATGGCCAACTGAGATCTGAAAAAAGAAAATCTGCCCTATAAGTACTAAATAGCTTTTTTTTGGAATGCTGGTGCCTAAGTCCTAAGCCGATAGTGCAGGGTCCAATCGTTAGACTCTGCCTTTGACCTCTCTCTTTTCTCGGCAACTCTTCGCTTCAGTGCCATCCTTTGTAAGCCACTTCATGCCAACGGACGGATGTGCTGGAGTACGAGTTGCATTTGCGTGCGCTGCCCCTGTGGCGCACATTGTTACAAGGTCCCTGCTATTCATTCCTGTACTTGACAGACTAAATTTGTACCTTAATTACTCTAGACCAGTATTTATGTCCTAGCCAGCGAAGAATTCCCCACACATTTGCATACTAATACTGGATTGCACTATTGATTCCAGCAGCATGGTATGTATTCTCTCTCAGACATTCAATTCCAGTCTAATTTCTTCACCAGACCTCACAATCCACATCCAGCCCACCTTTTCCTTTGCCAAGTTCCATGTCTGTTTCCCAGCCGTCAGTCTCATTTATGTATGTCTACATGCCCTAATATCTCATTATGGGCTGCTAAACCAGAGCCTTCTCTCAACCTGTGGCTTCCTTGACATTGTCTCCCGTGGCAGTGACGGTGAGTTTACCAAGCATTGCAAGCCCTAAGACGTGTTACTTACATACAGGTCCACACGTTATGATGCAGTCGTCACCCACATGTCTGCCCGTCTCCGTAGGACCACTAACCCATCTCATAATCTTCATAGCCATAGTCGCTGGGCTCATACTCTTACCAATTGTCCTCCTCATCCTCTTATGCCGCCGGCAAAAGTGCGTTGTTTGGTAAAACTTGTTGGCAGGTAGTAGGTAAGAATGAATGTCCCTCATGCCCACACTGCCAATACCAATCCTAAGCCAGTCAACAAACTATAATACCTGTACCCCTCCTAGTTACCCCACCTGCCTCATTCCCCTCACCCTCCTTAGGTGTTAGATACGTTGCCTCCCATGCCTTCAACCCTGCCTCGTACACCTCCCAAAGCGAGTATGGTGTAATGATGCATGCAGGACTTCTTAGACTTTCAAGAGCATACACAATCCTGAGGTCCTTGTTCGAATCAAAGTACTGCTCTGATCAAGATCACTAGGTCTTTTGGGCACAAATTCTACAAATCTCTGACACCCCACCCACCTCGAAACAGGGCAAAGAAAGCAGGATGGTGTAATGATGCATACAGGGATTCCTTAACATCGTGCATTGTGTGGTTTGATCAACCCCGAGGTCCTTGTTCGACTCAAGGTACTGCTGTCTTCCTTTTCTTGTTCAACTTTTCAACAAAATCCCTCTGATTCTCAAGCACTCACCCACCTTGAAGCAGGAAAAGCAGTATGGTGTAATGATGCACATGGATTTGCTTGAACCAGGGTGAATCGAGTCATCTCGAGGTCCTTGTTTGAATCAAGGTACCGCTGTGCGGCAGACACATTTTTTTTTGGCTGGATTGTGCCGAATGTCTAGCACTCCATCGACCACTCTGTTGATAGGATCTTTCAGTTGTGATCATCGCATCGTACCTATTGCTGGAACCTTAGCTTGGTTCCATCGGCGCACATCGAGGGATCCTATTCTCTTCTGATTTGGCAGATGAGTCTTGACCACTGGCATCAGGCAGGCGACCTTCCCCGAGGAATTCTCAACGAGTTTTTAGTGTGCTGTTGAATCCATGTGAGGTCGTTTGACGAGTCGGAGTCAGGTTACCTTCGCGCAAGTGTAAGGGATTTGAGCTAAGCTCAAGTGCCTCAACTTGTGTTAGTACAAAGCACCAATACAGTTCGACTGTGTGATTCATAATACTTAAACTTAGACCACGTCCCACAGGTTGGCTTTTCCTTTCATAGCCAGTGCCTTGCTAAAAAACGTCTCAGAGTTACCTCACCATGCCGCCTCCGATGCCAGCCATTTTTTTCAAGCAATATATGACAATCGGCTTCCTCACGGCTCGTAATGGCTACTTTTGAACTTGCTTTTGATGTCCCTGCCAGTGCGCACCGTTGAAAGGCAAGAAGCCACTGTCCCTCGCGAAAATCGAAACATCTTACACCATTAATGAAGGGACTTGATTTAGAGTACGCGTTACGGTACCTTGAGATTTCAGTTAACATTCACTATGTATTGTACTATCCATCGCAAAGGAACTAAGCACAATTTAGGAATTCAATGCATGAAACAACCCGTAAAGGGGCAAGTTGAAAGGACTCTTCGATCGGAGGGAGAGAATGACATGTGCTTGGTGCGGTTCACCTCGACCATCAATTTGCTGGTACTCAAGAAATCATTCAATTAATTGAATCTACCCTAGGTGTTTCCATCTAAAACTTCACCAGCCGGATGAGTTCCTCTCTCGCTTCTCCCGCGCGCACCTCCCTGAGGGCCTTCGACATCTTCGCCACATTTTCCTGCAATCTCGCGCCCTTGGCACCGCGTGCAGCAGCAAACGTCGCCTTGAACTCCTCCGACGCGTCCTGCACAGTCCCGGTAATTTGGGCATCACTGTGGAGGGAAGGCGCGATTTGTGGGCCAGCACGAATCTGCGCACGTTCAAGTTAAATGGGTTCATTCAAAAAGGAAATGAGGGAACGCTAATACCTGCAGGAGCTCAATCGCCACTGGATTCGGCTCTGCTGACAACATCGCCGCGTTGACAGTCTGCTCAGCGCCAACAGGCCAGATGATGAGCGGGATGCCCTGCGTAAATGACTCGGTCACAGAACTACGAAAAAACGTCAATGGTGCGAAAATAAAACAAGTTGACTGGAGATAAAGGTGGGTGAATACTTACTTGAACCCGCCGTGTGTGAGGAACCACCCGACGCCGCCGTGCTGCAGGATCGCGAGCTGCTCGACCCAAAAGTCGCAAATGAGCCCTTTCCCGCTCGCGTTGACGCGCTGTATGAGGTCTGCAGGGAGGGACGCCATCTGAGACCCAAGTGCGAAGACGAAAGGGAATGGTTGCTCGAGTTCGAGTAGCGTGGTCACGAGCGCTTCGACGAGCTGCGGCGTGGCAACCGGGAAGAAGAGCGATCTGGCGAAAGTACGACATGTAAGGAATCTGAGCTGTGATGACGAATACACACGCGCACCCGAAGGAGATGTAGAGGACAGATTTCTTGCCGTATCCACTCACAGCGCGGTCCAAGAAAGATTTGACGCGCTCGTTGGACAGCACAGCTGAGGTAGCATTGGCCCAACAGAGCTCGTGCGCCTGCATCCCGATGGTAAACAGCTCTTTCCCGTGTTTCTTGTAAAATTCACGGAGGTATGGCACGCCGACGGGCTCGATACAGGTGCTGGTGGTGGCAATATATCCGTCGACGGCCTTGCCGAGCTTCTGGGCGATTGACAAAAGCATACCCATGCCAATCGGTGGGCCGGCGCTATATGCGTGACGTTCGTAGTCGTACATGTCGGGGCCGCCGGGATACTTAATGATGAGTCCGGATATTTTATCTGTGCCGTTAGAGGCCTCGACAACCTGTGAGCGTGAATTTGGAATAAATTGATGGTAAACAATCTTGGATGAAACCCAACATTTTGCACAATGTCCTCCAGAGAGCGTCCCTCCCGCTTCGACTCGTCCGCGTAGATTTCCTCAGCTATAGCAGTAAAATCGTAGTTGCTGAAATGCGCAGGCAAGGAAATAACGGCGGAGGACCACCACATAAGGGTCTTGCAGTCGGGACCAAAAATTGCCTTGGTGGGTTCGATTACAAATCCCCCACAGGCGAAATCGAACTGAGAGAAAACATTGGCAGCAGAAAATAAAAACAGAATTGGGACTCACATGAATGGTCTGTGGTTTGGGCCATCCCTCACTTCCGTGAGCCAATTGCGGAATGGTCTCCATCCAGCCACCACAGAGCTGTCCGAGCGCTTCCTTGATCATGGTCGGTCCAAACTCAAGGCTGCATAATCAAGGAGCCGTCAATTAACGAAACGCGATGTGAAGAACTGTGGACGCACTCCTTGGCGCCCACCCCAATGAGTCGAAGTCGCGCTTTGTCGTAGGAGCACGCCGCCAGGGCCGCCTCCATCTTCGGTACTGATCATACGCAAATTGTAATTCGGACTTCGTTTGATATTCTTGAGAATGTACGCACCCATAAGATTGTGCTGCACAATCGTGACAACCAGAGTAGGATCCACAGCGAGCATCTGGGTCACAGCATTGATGTAGCTGATTGTGTGTCCCCACGCAGGCGGGAGCATTGCGACAATGTGGTGGGTAGCCATGTTGAACAGGAACGGATGGAGAGTGAAACAAGGGAGCTTTCTGGGTTTGACGGCTCTTGTA